GATGTCATTAGGAGTATACAGTGAGACAGACCGGAGGAAGCTGCTGTACCGAGTTGCACCCAAGGGACGTCATTACCAACTGGAACTGAGCAGGGACCTGAGCACAGGTCAGACACATAGGAAGTAGACTCACACACATTGGAACAAGTGTACAGTTACTTACACACACATACACACAAACATGCATCAGTCACAAAGCAAATGGACAGATCTGTCCGGCCTCTGACAGCAGCAAGAGTGTATTTGTTGCAAAACTTGACGAATTCCTCAATATCTAAGCGGACACCTCTGTGGACAAATGTGCCTCATTAATGAGCACGCACAGATGGACAACACACACACACATGCGCGCACACAAAGGCACGGGCTGAGAGCTCGTGCTGTGCTAAGTTGCGGTGTGTATACCGGTGTAGCCGTCTGCACTTCATTACTGTTCACACACAGACAGTTGCAGTGTTTTTGTGTCAATGTTTAATGAGGGGCTGGGAGTCTGGGGACCTTACTGCTGTCAGGAGCTCCTGTAGTCTGGAGCTACCACCTGTTCCAGTTCACTCCCGAAAGGCCTTAACACACACACACACATCGCGAGAAGACAGACACACGGAGGCATGCAAACAAGCGGGAGCATGCACAAAAACATGTCTCCGCAAACACACACACCTGACAAACTACATACACTGATTTAGTCGTCCTGTGGCACCTCTGTCAGTGTTGGATGCATGTAAACAGGTTATTGTGGTTGGCTGAGCCTGGCTGCCTGACAGAAGCTACAAAGACCATGGGAATATCAATTGATACATTTCATATTCCTCGTCAGCTCGCCTGAGATGACAGCGTGAAAGCTGCTGCCAGCGGGAGTGATCCCTCTCTGCCTTTTTCTGACACTGCCGTTTGATGGAGATCTGAACCGTCCCGACTGATCAGCGCTCAGCGACAAGCAGTCCAACGCTCTCAGACCGCGTCCCATAACCATCCATGACAGACTTTCAGCTACTTAAATGCAGCTGTATAGGAAAATGTTTCCTGTTTTAGGCTGCAAAAAAAGGAAGAAGACATAAAAAATACATTTCAAAAAACTAACTTTTATTAAAACAAAAAAACAAAAAACAAAAAAAATCAATTATTGACTCATTAACAAGATTATAAAACAGTGATTTAGTTACATAAATAAATTGATATCGGTGTATCAAATCTTAATTTCATAAGCATGTATACATGGGTCATTGTAATAAATAAAATGGGAGAGCAGAAGATTCCTACACAAACAAAACAAAATAAAAACTAAAAAAAAAAAGAAGAAAAAAACAGCTAGAAAGACTCAGAGGAAATTGTTTCTGAAGAGAACAAGAGACACTGGACAACGTATTTTTTTCACCAAACACACGTGAGGAATTGCTTTGTTAAAGCATAAGTTACACAGCCATTCACTTACTAATTAAGGACACTAAAGCTGGGACCAAAGGTGGGTCGTCTCTCACCTCTTTGAACGCGTTTGGTTGTTAGACAGATCTCCTGTTTGGTTACTTTAAAGCGTTAAGACAAGGCAAGAGAAAAGGCTGCTTTCATCTTTAATGAACACGAGATCGGAAAAAAGAAAAATGCACAGAAAAAGAAAAATCAGACATATAAAGAAGGTAAAAAAAAAAAAAAAGGACAAGTAATGATAGGACAGCTGAACATCGCAGATGAGATGCTGTAAAATTCTGCTGTGAATGAAAGGGAGAACTGAGGAGACTCGTTTTTTTTAATCTCAGCTAGTTTGAACCTGTGCATAATTATCAAAGTTTTGTTGAGTTGCAAGACTAAAAAGTTAATTTAATAAGGGTTTAATTACTGCAACAACAAAAAAACAGACTTCAGCCAGAAGATGTCCTTAAATGCATGTAAGGCTGGACACATAATACATGAATATTGAATTTATTTATCTCCAGTTAGCTCCTGTATAAAGCACATTATCATTGTTTTCCCCACAGGATCCTGTGAGAATCTAGGCTAGTGCAACAGCTTACATGCATGATTAAGTACTTCAAGAAATCCTGTATTGTTTTCAAACATTGAGTCGTCTACCTCCATCCCTTTTCTTAGTCAGCAGGAATGAGCAAGGTTAATCTCCACCGTCACAATCAGACTCAACCTGCAGGATCCAGCTGCTCAAGTATGAACACAAGTCCAAAAAGCCGTCAACAAAGTCAGTCCAGTCCTTCTGATATGTTCTGTTTTTCAACAAAAGAGAAAAGAAGAGAAGACAAAAAAGAGAAGGAGCGAGAGAGAGAAAGAGCAAACTACAGCGGCTTCAAGTATTTCACATTACATAGAATACTCTGTATAAATTAGTTAACATATACTTTCAGATCCTCCATATTCAGACATATACTATGGCATATATACAGAGTACAATAAATGCTCGCTCATGTTTGTGTTGTGTTTTTGTCTTTTTTTTCTTCTCCTGTAGTCAGTCGTTCATTTGTTCCGCCTTTTTTTCCTGTGTAGAGAAATCCCTGAGAACGTTCTGGTTGACAATTACTGAAGGTTCAACACAATGACCTATAACAGTAGAAAGTCTAATTTCTATGATTCACATGCACAGAGGGAAATGACACTGGCCTAGTCTGAAAATACAATGGTGGCTGTAAATATGAGAGAGGACTGACATATCTCAGTGTGTTAGAGCCTGTTGTTTTTCGGGGTGTAAGTACCAATGCCGGGGCAGTGATGTACAGCAAAGCCGAGCGCAGAAACACCTCAGCAGGAATCTGACTCAGCTTTCCTCATAACCTTGGTCCCGCTAGTGGATCTCCTGTTTAATTAACACTGTCAGCTATCATGGATGATAAATATCATGATCACAAAAATAAAATGGGAGCAGGTTCAATACCGTATCATGAGGTAGTCGTCTCCCTCTGGGTATCAACAAAGTCTCGAAATCCAACAATAACGGATCGAACTAAGGCTGTTAAAAAAAAATCACAGCTGTACTACATTACATTAATGTAACAATAATACTCATTATCTGTAGCCTGCACACTTGACTCTGTCTTTAACAGGTATTCATTATGGAGGTGGGGAAGATTACAACAATTAAAATAACACAAGTAGGCTTTAGTTGTGTTTAATGAAGCTAATTGACCATATTCATGCAGCCATTTCCCTCTGATGTCACGCTCAGGTTGGGATGCTAAAAGAAGGTTATAATATCGTAAGGCTGTGTTGCAGTTTGCGTATCATATACATTTATGTATCTGCCACGTCTGGATTGTTAGCCAGAGAAATGTGACCATGTTTCAAGTTAAAACAACTCTGACTACTAGCTTAAGTTTGACAACGGTTAATATTAGCATTCAGCGTCTTACATGGTAAAACACGTAGCTAGGAAGTAAATGAAAGCTTCAAAAAGTTTTGGTAATGCTACATAAGTTCGACCGATAACATTGGCTAGTTAGTTAAGTAGCAGGTGGTTGAATGCGAGCATTAGCTGTTGTCCAATGGAATCATTTATACTCAATGAAGGCGAGACAAAAGCTAATGTTAGCATTCAGCCACATGCAAGATTATTAACAATTATGTTGATTAGAGCTCCTATTATGTTTGATAGTGTGACACGCCACAATTAGAAGCTTAAATTTATAGCTATAACATAGGTTAGCTACTTATTTAGCTAGCAAGAGGTTAAACGCTAACATTTGGACAAAAATTGTACAATTGAAAAACGATCAGGTTAGACAGGTTATACAAAAACTAATGTTGCATTAAGTTACTTATAAGATAATGTTTTTGTTAGCTAGGAAATTGCTGAAAGCTCTACGTTTGTAACTTAATGGCTTGAATTTCTTGGTAACATACTGTTAGCTAGGTTATTTATTGAGCTAGCAAGTTTTTTTAAAAGCCGGCATTGCCTGTTGTCCAAACGTAGAAATGGTAAAATCGATAATTATCTAAGGCTAGACAAGCTTTTATCTACTTATTAGATGATGCAACTGCTAGCTAAGATTTCGCTTAAAGCTATTACGTTTGGTAGTGTTACACGACAAAATAGGAACGCCTCGACTTTCTAGCAAACTTAACCTTGGCCGGGAATCCATTATAAATTGGAAGTGGTTGAATGCTAGCATTAACTGTGGACCATGTGTAGTAAGGAGTAATCCAATATGTTGTTTTACCTTGAAATATTGTTCAATTTCTTTCTGGTTGTTTATTTGGTCATTGAGCTAGAAGCCGATGCTTCGAGATAAACTATGACTTACAACCTGAAAAAAAAAGGAGTGCAACATGTTGACAGTGTGTGAGGGCAGTTTGACATCAGAGGAAAATGGCTGCTGTGCAAACATGGTTGAATTCCTGCGACCAAGAGAAAACCAATGGCTGCTCAAGTGCTGTTGCTGCTGTTACTGCTGTGTCTAAAGAAATGCTGATGGCTGCTTTCTGTCAGTGCTTAACCAAGCTGAGCCGAGCTGAGCCAAGCTAAGCTGTGCAGTGCTGCCCAGCGCCCAAACAGCAAGGGCCTGGACAGACTGAGGTGCTCCGTGTGGTTTAAAGCCTTAGTTTCTCTTTGAGGATGCAGTGATTCTTTTTTTCTACTTCTTGCTTTTGTTTGTTTTTTTCACGAGCGCTATCGTAGAAGGGTTTCGGCCACTTGACAACTTTAAAAAATCATTGTACACTGAAAAAGGGGGAAAAAAAAAAAGATGCTTAAAAAATAATTAAAGGAACCAAAATTTTAAAAGCCATTTCACTTTTCATTTTCCTCTCGCGCACACATGTAGAGAAATACACACAAACATTCACAACATGACAAATTTCCTCTCTTCTGAAAAATAAAAACACTTCTGTACACATAGTAGTAATAATATTATTAATAATAATAATAGTAATAATGTTTATAACAATAACAACAGCAAGAACAATAATACCGCGTGTGGCTCTGTTGATTTTTTTGTCATCTTTTCCTTTCTCTTTTTGCTTCATTCTACAAGTCACATCCCTCTTTTTACTTGTCTATTGTATTTGTCCAAAAGAAGTTCAAAAGGCAGACTCAAGTTAATAGAAAAGTACTAGAGTGGGAGGGGAGCCTCGCCCTCAGCCAAACCTCTCCCTCACCAGCATCATTAGTTTCTTTTTGCCCTTGTAGATCTGTTTCAGGTTGTCTATGAACTGTGTGAACTGAATGTGTCCGTCGTGAGCCATCATGAAAGTCTCCCGGGCTTTACCCAGGAACTCGATGAACTCGCTGTAGTGGCGCGGGCTGATGTGTGTGAGCCGCGAGTGTGTTGTGTTGATGTAGGCCCCGATGGTTGCGTCCAGCAGCTGCCTGAGCGGCGCCTTGTCCAGGGACATCAGCTTCCCAGAGTTCCTGCGGCTGTGTAGTGCTGACACCATGCCCGGTGTGGTCAGCGTGCACCGCCGCAAAATGTCTGAAAGCACGGTGGCACACTTCACGCTTTTTACCACAAGAGGGATCACTGCGGCCAGCTCGTTTTTCCCTAGCGAGTGGCTAAGTGCACAGGCCCACAGCACATCGTTGATGGCCGGGTGTGTGTCCTGGTTGTAACTAAGGTTCAGGTGAGCCATTGCTAATGTTGCTAGCTTGTACGCCCTCATCGGGTAACCGCGGTGTTCCATGTAGCGGGCTATGGTGAAGAGCTGCGTGTAGCTCATCCCCGTCGCTGCTGCGTCCAGTACAATCTGGTAGGCTGTCTCGAAGGCAATGTGGTCCTTTTCACAGAGTGTGAGGGCAGAGAGGGCGCAGTTCTGGGGGTCCTTCATGGCACACTGCAGGGCGAGGGTGCGGGCGGAGGAGGCCAGGTTCTCCTGCTGGTGGCAATCCAGGTGGAGGCGGACGATAGTGCTGTTGGACATGACGGTGGTGGCCACGATACTGGTGGCCTCTGTTGGAGTGAAGAGTGTGAACCAGCTCTGCATAATGCTGTCCAGTGCATACACACCTGGGAGACACAGATTGAACAGAGTTAAGAGAAAGTTTGAGATGAGTTAATTTGCAGAGATAATTATATATACAGTAGGTTTCAGGTGGAACATGTTGCTGCACCTGGTCTGTACCTGCACCCATGCTTATTCGGGGAACCTGGAAACCATTAATGCAAATTTAAGTACATTTCAAAAAGTTATTTGGAAATAGCTTAGTGCACTACCAGGAAACTGCACACTTTGCATTGCATTCCCATGTTCTCATAGCTACAACATTTGTTTATATGTATGGCTGCATTCCACCCACAAACATCCCTTGTCTCTTCAGAAATGACTACAACACCTTTTTGAATTTCTGGCAATCCAACTCGACTTGTCTGGACTCAGATTCAGATTTGATACAAAGATGTTGTCATCTGAATAAGTCAGGATTGTTTATATTGTGTCTCTACTCACTTTCTTTTAAATCCTCTTTTAGTTTGTAAAGTTTGAATGTGGGTGGTTAATTCAGAGAAATGTATTTGTTAGTTTGTGGATGTATTCTACATAGCTTTTTATCTACAATTTGAAAGTATAAGTATAAGAAAAGGATCAATGAATATATACCAAGAAATCTATAAATCAAGAAAAATTGTCACATAGCCCGGCTCACTTACCAACTTCAGTGGCACATGTGACTAACCAGCGCACCATCTCTCTCCTCCTCCAGTTTAATGTGGACAGAGTTATTCTCATCACCTGAGGAAGACAAAAAGTCAAGGATGAAGCAGAGAGAATGAGAGGTGAGTTACCAAAGTAATACTAGGGCTGTCAGCATTAACTAGTTCATTGTGATTAATTCAGGTCGGAATTAATGCGTGATTGATCGTATGCTATTTCGTCTCTTTAGGTGCAACGTGGATAAGCCTCCGCAGTGTCTCCCTGTAGTCACAGTGATGGAAAAGGACAACACTGCTGCATCTCTGAATGTCTCATTTCACTTTTCCGTGGCTCAGTTAATGTCTTAACCTTCGATCTACCATTAAAAACAGGGCTGAATTCAAACAGCAAGTACGCTCAGCTTAAGACATAGGCAAAAAAGTGAATCTTATGTAACTTATATCAGCCGGGCCTGGTAAAGAAACCCGTTAAGATATACAAACTGACCCTTAAACTTTATGAAAGAATGTTCAGATACAGTTAAGTGTGTGGACTGTAAGAAACATGGATGAAGCCTCAGGTGCATCCCCCATGAGTTTCTGAGACAGAGATATGAAACCCACTGGAAGTGCTCACAATAATGGAAGTGCATTACATACATTCTGTCAATCTAGTAACAGACATATAGGCGGAGCTGCGGTGGTTCTTATACCTCCAGGTAAAACGCTACAACACACCTGCCTGAGAGCTATTCAGACCAGGCTGTAAACCTGTTTATGTCTGCTGTCAAAACGGGCATTTTGATATTAATTGCTGTTAATGGGGCTTCTGCAGCCAGCCTCAAGTGGACAATCAAGGAACTGCAGTTTTTTGGACGTACACAAAGGCTTTATTTTTTAATACCGGAAGATGCCTCTTCAGTCGGTTGTTTTTTTTAATAACAATGTGGTACATGTTCTTACCTGCAGCCCCAGCTCCAGAGAGACTTTGAGAAGTGTGATGTCAGGCAGACTGTCCATCAGAGTGGCGATCTTGAACGCATCTTGTGCCAGTTTGAAGATGTGAGACGAGGAGTGGATGTTTTTCTGGATGGACTCCAGGACCGTCTCCAGCCTCCGACTGTCACCTGCAGGGGATTTAAACACAGAGAATGTTTCAGACTTGAACAGAGATCCCTGCCTTTGCTTGATAGTATATATCTGTATATGTACAACATGTGATCGTATCGGAGTATTTGGGAACGTATCCACACCTTTGGCTGCAGTGAGCATGGTGGAGGCAAGCTCACACTGCTGAGACTCTATGTGGCTCAGGGTGAACCAGCGCGGGTAGCGGTTGGGCACCACAGAAACGATGTGGTGGGGTCGAGACAGGTCACCGGACGAGGCCGTCGATTCCAACACCGGCAACCTGATGAAGACACAGGACAGAAAAAATGTAGCAAGAATTTTGACTCAGTGAATGCTTCTTTCTGTAAAAAATATGTAGACTAATGATCTGATGCCACATGGAACAGAGTAATGTTAGGACACAGCAGAGACAGAAATAAAGGGACTGGTAAAAAGAGAAAGGCAGAGAGACACCAAAGATCCAGGAATCAGCGACATCACAGTGAAATGACTTCATACAGACAGACAGAAGAAGTTGTCATTATGATGGTCTGAAAAGGACTTCAAAATGAAAATGACTTCGGTGATCACAGGGGGATTACAGTTCGCCTATCCCTGCAATTTACTTCCAACCTAGCATTTAATCACCTAGAAACCGAGGTATAATTAGTATTTTCTTCACTCTAATTGGTCATAATGAAGTCGAAGCCCCGCAACACCTGCTAGTGGATGAAGGGGCTTCACCCGTTTTTTTTTTCCCCCTCTCTCATTATAACAACACCGACAGGGCCGAGTCTTCTCCAGCACCACCTCCCTTCACCACTGTGGCCGGCTCATCTCCTATTCTGCTTCACTTCTCTCCCACCTCACTTTCAAAGGTCTTCTTTCCTTCAGAAGACAGCACAACCTGGCCTTCTCTCAGCCAATCACAAAGCTAATTGAGTCCACGGGGAAATTAAGGAATTCACCTTCCAGCCCTGTAAGGCTGGACACACATCAAACAAATACCGACACACATGAATGAAAAGAGTCAGACACGCGCATACACGCCCACACACACCCTCACCCACACACCCGCACACACGCACACACCTGCCCTTTTGAAAACACATCAAAGCATCCCAGTAAAAGCAATGTGATGCTAAATGCCAGTTTCAATTTCAGAGCAAAGTGCATGTGATACTGTTGCCACCTGAGTGCAGGCATGCACAAAAACAACCTCTTTGCTTTTTACCCGAGAGGGCACAAGCCAGATGGGTCTTCCGGAGAGAGAAGGTGTCAAAAAAAAAAAAAAAACCCAGTTGTGATGCGTGTGGGTGTGAACATGGACGCTTGGTGTAAAATGAAGAAGTTTGGAAGCCCTAGCAACCGCCGGGTTCACTCCACACGCCTCTAAAGAGCTGCTAAAAGCCTCCACCACACTGGGGCCTTCTGGAAGATTCCTGGGGTGTAGCAAAGCAAAAAAATAGAGCCCTGGGTAAAGATGGAGGCCTCATCAACATTCCTGTCTTTGTTTGGTTTTCACCAGAGACCCAGAGGCCCTCCATTGGATGGGAGCTCGAGAGGCCTGGCCCAGCTGAAAAATAACCTCCTCAAAATGTTTAGAGGAAAATCCATACTGGGCTATTGTTCCATGGGAAACCAAAAAAAAAAAAAAAAAAAAAAATGATGAAAAAGAAAGCAAAATGGAGAGCTCTGAAGCATTCAAGTACAGTACATTCCCCACTAAGGGTGCAATCTCATTGAGCAAACGAGAAAAAACTGTTGCAGAATGGTAAAAAACTGGCTATAAACATGATCGTCTTCTCTCTGTGAAAGCACTCGACTCGATGTCAAGTGTGCTTAAAACACCAAATTAAACTCATATTTCTTCACAGCGGCGCTCATGACTGCATATAAACGTGTGTTAAAGATAACAGAGTGGGCTTCAAGGGGCAATCAATCCCTGTGTGTGAGGCTGGAGAAGAGGAGGGGGCTGCTCTGGTGTCGAAAACGGAACCTGTGGTGCTGTATCACCCTGTCACCTTGAGCCAGATGAGGATGAGGAGGAGGGCATCCGCTAGGAGCCATAGTTGTAGTTTCAGTAGATGTAGGGGATTCGTAATGGAGGAGGAAACATTAGGACACTTCTATCCACATATTGAGAGAACAAGAGAAAAACTGAAGGGAACAAATGTGAGGAGAAGTTGATGTAAAGCAGCACAGCCAGTATTTACCTAAATCCTGAGGCCCTTAGTGGCTTCTGGTCAGCCTCACTAGGATGACTGACCTCTCTCCCTCTTTCTGCTTTTCCCCCCGTCTGACTGTAAACACCTTTCACTTTCATAATCTATCAAGCACACATCTATTCACTCAGCGTCACATCCGCTGGAAGACCTCCACTTCTATACACAAATTTAAGAAGGAAAAACTGAATGATGCCTGAGAAGGATGTGAAACCTAACCCCAAGTTTCAGCTCACGCATGGTTAGTGACCCAGGTGCTTGAAATCGCAAGTAGGAAAAAATGACAAAACATCCTTTAACAATAAGTCATCACAGTCATTTGAGAAAATATCCACTTCTCAGTCTTCGAGGGGAAAATAGTTTAACAGTGTATTCTTTTGAGTCTTTCTTTTAAAGAAGGTGTTGAATGTGTGTTTTGATCACAGAGGGTAGGGGGATTGTCTTAGACCCAGACGTGCACGTAATCCTCCAATTGGATGAAACCATGAACACGCACACATGCATTCAGCTATATGCACAACACTCGCACAATTCAACTTTCAACTATTTGGTATCTGTGGTGCAGGAGTTCGAGTCCAGAGGTCGAAACTGGGCGAGTGGGTTTGTTTGGACATTTTCCATTTCTTGTCTTCATCCTTTGAGAATTTGAGGTTTTGTTTTTGTAATGAATTCTTTTTCAGTCTGTTGTTTAATAAACTGTTAAAACCTAGGCTTTATGGACTTTGGTTTGATATTTGTACAGACGAGTCACAGTTACAAGCTCACATATGCTCTCAGCAGAAACCTTTCTACTAATTGGTCTCTACACATATAAAGCATTAGGAATAATGATCTAATAATGAATAGATCATAAAAGGGGCCATTTATATACTTCAGATTTCCAACACCTATGTTTTCTGCTAAAAAAAAATGAATTTTGAAGTATCTGACGTCTATTTTAACCTAAATGCATGTGTATATGAGGTTAACAAGCAAAAGTAAACACTGGTCAAAATTACCATCTGCACAGTCTGATTGTGATTTATATGTACTTTGTAGTTTCAGTTTCATGCTCGGTGTTTCTACAGCTCACGCTCGAGCTCATGATTCATACACAACTTTACATTTCAAGAAACATTTGGAGAAAATGCTTTTTATTTTCAAGCTATATACAGTTGCTTTTTGGATTAGATTTTTTAAAACTCGTGATCGGTTTATAACAGCTGATGCATCATTCGATGTTCAGATCCACTCAGGCTGACGTGCTGCTTACATATCAGTAACAATAGTCTAATCATTTAATATAGCATTTAGATACTTAAGATTTTAAAATGTGTGTTTTTCTTTCAAATCTGGAAAACAGGATTTTTACATTCACGTTTTAAATGCAGCGTGTGTGAAGCTCTGGAATAAATTCATCTTAATTCTTCAAAAACATGGGAGGTTTAGAGGTTACCAGACTGTGCAGGGCGACACAGTTTGACCTTATTTAAAGATGTTTAAGTTTGTGAGCTCCCTGTGAGTGTCATTGGAATATCATTGTCTTGGTTTATCCTCAGACTCGGTTGTGATATACAGAGCCGTATGTTTAAAGATTATGGATTATGCGGAGGATCAAAGGTTGTGGATTACAGAGAGGATCTAGCTTCATTAGCATTGGAGGACTTGCATCTCATATGGAAATCTCATATGATAACAGGCGGCTGGGATTTGTCTCTTTGGCTTCCACCGAGTTGCGATAAAGGCTGTCTCTGGAGAGGCAGAGAGCTCCTTCTTCTTCTTCTTCTTCTTTTCTGTCTGCAGTCAAATTCTGGGCATCGCGTGAACTAGTCGGCAGCTCTTCTTCTTTTTGTTTTTGGCCGCTCACGCCAAGCCATCGAGTGGCATATGCTGCTCTCGCACGCTTTAATTAACCTCATGCACACACAGAACATAAACGACACACATATTCACACTTATAAGTACTCTGCCTCTACATACACAAACTCATATGGAGTGGATTAAGCAGGCGGTGCTTTGAAAAAAAGGATGTTTTTAGAGAGGCTGTGAAGGAGAAGACAAATCGACAAAGCGAGCGAGAAGTGGAAAAAGTACGTGTGTGTGTAAATGAGCAAAAAAAAGAAGACTCTCCCTCCCTCTCGCCTTGTATCAATGATAGTGTTATAATAGGTCCATTAAAATAGACCTGGTTCTTTTACCTCCTCCTCTATATTTAACTGTCCGCCGTCCCGTGGGACCAGGGAGGTATATGCTATCATATTACACTACGCTACATTACACACATTCATTATGTGCTGAGTAGACACCCCTGGCTCCCAGGAGCACCCGTAAGTGGCCATATTATTCTAAATCGCCTGTTTCACGCCGCAGGAGCGAGGATAGAGGAGGTGAGGGGAGGAAACAGAAGGGAAAAGGAAGTAGTGAAGTGAGGAAGGGGAGTGGCTGACTCAGGGGTAAAAAAAAAAAGAAAGAAAGAAGAGGTTTGGGACGGAGTTAAGAGGAAAGGAGGCGACGGTTAGCGGTTAAATGTAGGACCTTTAACCGCACAACCTCCACAAAGAGGAGGACAGACATGTTTTTTTTTTTTTTTTGGTTTTGTGAGGAAGTTATTTTAATTTCTGACACCTCCCGACTGCTAAAGGAAAGTGTCAATGATGTGTTTGTTCCCCTCTTGGTCCCACTGTGACACGCGATGGTAAAAAAAAAAAAACACACTTTTCATTCATTCACTTATCATCTTCCAGATTCACAGCCATCGACTGAGAGAAGAATCGCTTTGTAGAAACACAACAAACATCTTCCACACACTGCCCTCTCCCTGTTGGCCCTGAGTGAGTGTGTGTGTGTGTGTGTGTGTGTCTCCTCATTACAGCCACACTAATTACACTCTCATTAATGTAATTAATATTCACTGATCCAGCTCCCACTAGTCACAACATCAAAACACAGCAGCGAAGACTGATTAACACACATACACATGTACGCATTGTCCACAGATGAATACACACAGGAGCTTAATGCAGAGAGATCACATGGAAAACGCAGTCAGGCCTCCAACTAGAGACAGACACATAAACAGACATACAAACACAGAGTGCTCAATATCTTTTCAAATGTTATGTATCTCTGACATATGTTAATAATAATCGTGAATCAGCTACAGTGATTTACTGTAAAGCATGAAGAGAGCATTCACAAGTCCGCACAGAACAGCAGCAAACTTTTAGCCATGATCATTTAAAGAAGTAAAAGTGTAACATAAAGGTAGAGTTGTTTTTATAGTCAGACAATTTGAATAACTTTTAGATTTTTTTTCCCCCGAACTTTCGAAATACATTCAACAAATAAGGGAGCAATCTCTAAACTCTATGAAGGCCTGATGAAAGGAGAAATTACACACAACAGAACATGTTAAAGAAAAAAATGGGAGAAAGAGGGTGATTCTTTTCATAGCAAGTGAAAGCTGGAAAGTTCAGTGGAAATGCACCCACAAGTCTCGAGTGTGGGTGGAAGCGTTTCGTTGTCACATCAAAGCAGAGGGCACATTTTGCAGGAAGAGATGCTAAATGTTGGAGACAGTGTGGATTTCAGGGAGCCAGCCCCTGGCATATTTTCAGGGAGTGCCCAGTAATAAGACTCCTCCATGTAGAGTTACATAAAGCATTTTAAAGCATTATACTTTATATTGACCTGCCCTCCAAGTTTACCAAGTTAGTCTATATATATGTTTGATATCTGTTTGTAAAAAAAAAAAAACATTACTCCTATAAGAGCTGGTCCCTTCCTGACCTAACCATGCCAAATACAGAAATGGGAAAAAGGCAGAAGCGAGTGCTGCACTGGTGAAAATATGTTGAGGAATCAGGTGCTCTACAAGAACAGGAGTCACAGAGCTAAGAAATAAATGACTGTCCTGATTACAAACAAAGTTCATTGTGAAGACAGGCAGTCTAAACTTAAAGTCTGACACACTCTGAAGCAGTATAAAAATCCTTTGTCAGGACATCATTGATTAATAATGTCCTGACAAAACTCGGTGACACATACATGTTAATGAAAGATTTTTATACTGCATCATGGTGCCTCAGACTTTCAGTTTTGACTGCCATTTATTCACAATGAACATTGTTTCGTAATCAGGACAGTCATTTATTTATGAACTAAATACAGAAATGGATCGATATATTCTAAATGGTATTGATGTTGTGTCTCCAGAGAGATGTTTTTGTTCCAACTTTGGACAAAGTTGGTTCAATATGTAAAGTCCCTACGAGCTGATTTTGCGCAGGTGAACAACAAAAGCTCCTGTGATGCTTTTTCCTCTTCTTGAGTCTCTCCCTGATTTGTTTTTTTTTAATGAAAACACTTTATCTCCCCCCCCAAATTGTACTTGGTTCAATGCTCTGTTATATAAACTTCTGTCTAAAAAACAAAAGGAGAACCGGCATATTTTCCTGTTTTTAGGAGTTTTCCGTTGTAATGTTTTAACAAGTCTCCATTAGGCCAAACTCAGATGGATTATCGTAATCCAAAAACCAGGATTTCTTTCCACGAATGCAAATCAATAAAATCTGATTTACGAGGTTCTGACAAAATAACAGCACCACACATCACATCAGGTTTTCATGACGCCTACCTCATGGCTCTCAGTGCAATTTTGTACGCCAGTTCAGCGTCGTGAGGTAGGAGAGAGGTAAAGAGATAGCGGGCGAAGGTGTGCATGGGGACACTCTCTCTGTGGACGATCTCACCGAGGCCAGAGTACGGACCAGCTGCAGGAAATACACAGAAAATAACAACACGTGAAAAAAAGAGCAGCTGGTTTTAGTGATGGAAGAAAAAGGAGAAATGAATAAAACTCATCAGGTGAATAAATGTTAAAGGGTGGTTTTCATACTTATAGTGTACGGGATATAAATAGACAACAGAAGAAAAAGGAGCTGTTTGTTTTTGTTGAATATGTGGTTGTGTGTTTGTGAGTGATTTCTCTTGTCCATCCCTCCCACCCAGGACGAGGAGAAGCCACGCTGCATAAAACAAACCGTGACGTCAGAAAACCATATGGCCATGTGTGCAGACTTGGCCTCACTCTCACTCCCCTCCCTACCCCCATCTCTTCCTGTGCTTCCTTTAGTCTCTTGTGGGTTATTTTAAACCCCAACAGGCTCCTAAGCCACAGACCACATCACACAGTGGCGCGGCTGCAGCCTCCAGGGGCCCGCAGAGGCCTCGGAGCCCGGCGCTCTATTAGCAACGGAGCCAGAGGTGGGTGGTCGTGTAACGTGTTGGGGGCCGAGGCAGGGCTGAGGGTTTGGGTGGGGACTCCTCCACCTCCTCCTCCTCCTCCTCCTCCTCCTCCTCCTCCTCCTCCTCCCTCTTTCATTCCCATAACCAAACCTCATTCTGCTCCAGCCCAGGTCCTGTAAATGTACACACTGCTGTGTGTGTGTGTGTGTGTGGATTTGTGTGCTGACACAATACCCCTGGTGTAACTGTGTAAAGAGCTCATTTTGGTCTGGCCCAGGGCAGCGCAGCCTCTATTTGCACCACAAAATGAAAGGATAATAAATAGTGAGGCAGAGTCCAATGTGTTTTTTCCTGTTTTAGCAAGAATGTGTAGGGGTTTGGTGCGTGGGAGGGAGGGAGGGAGGGAGGGAGGGAGGGACACAAAAAAAGGACGAGGTGTGTCTACATGTGTGGAAACTGCTGTGAGAAACGCTGACAAAAAAAGGGACAAAAAAAAAAAGGTGATAAAATATCTGTTGGCTCTCTTACCCTCTAGCAGATAGACGGCCTGTTTGCGGAAGATTTTGACCAGGGAGTCGTCCAGTTCCACTTCCTGCAGCTTCGCCAATAGCTGCTCTTCATTGCGACACACCTTCTCTTGAGCGTAAAGCCCGTCGGGCATCACCCGCTGCTGGCCCAAGCCGACCAGAGCCGTCTCCACCGCCAGCGCCACGTACGATTCGCCGTCTCCTAACAATCGTTGCACGGGCATCCGTTGGAGTTCTGCTCTGCTGACAACACTGGAGCAATCTGTGAAGAAGAGACAGATAGCAGAGGGGGGGAGAAAAAAACAGAGTTAGATGGAGAGAAAGGAGCTGGAACAATGGCATAAAGTAGTAGTAAGTGTCTGTGTTATTCTCTGAGGTTTTGGACACTAGATGAGCCTGTCTCCTATAGAAAACCGATGTGTCAGTCACACAGGAGAGATCTGAACCAAACGACCATCCAAAATAAAGATCAACGCCTCAGGAGCATTCCTCTCCGCTCTCCTCTACCTCAGAGGAGAGGGCTATTTCTGTGAGCAGAGGAGGCAATGAGGGACGGAGCGATTGCTGAGCGTAGGAGAGGAGAGTCGGAAAAAAGCAAGAGAGGACGATGAGATGGAGAGACTGAGGGTGATTTTGCACTAGGGTTTTGATCATTTGCATTTTAATGTGAGAAGCAAATATTCAAAGACTTAAAAACCGGCCTCATCAAGCGTCCAAAAAGACTTAATAGTTCTCTTCTGTAGTAAACAAGGCAGGGATGTGAGATTCAGTCGTGTGTTATGTACAGACTGTTCATAAAACATTTGTATTTGTGAGCACGGTTACCTCTTGTGCATATCGTCGTAATGCAACACATGAATGGCTTTGCGTAATTATGAAACACGCTTAGTTTTACAAGTCAGGCGGACTTGAAAATAAAAAAGGTAAACAAAATGAAAGGGGCGCGCGGTAGAGTCTGCGTCCACATATCGGAGAACAACACCGAGAACATGACAGCTACTTTACTGACTTCTGACTTATTTTGAGTCATTTTAGTGAGATACAGCCAGCACACTCCGGGATGTCTCGATAATGAAGGCTGTCCATGATGTGTGCCTGTGCTCGTGCATGAACTGTACCGTGCAGAAGCATACAGTACCTCTTCCAATGCATGCCAGGGCCAAGAATGTGTACAGTGCTTAAGCACGGATTGGAGCACTCAATCTAGTCAAACGAACTGGACTTTGCCAGTGACGTCTGTTCAGGCACAGTACACTTCATGTGGTAGTCACATGTATGTATACAGTATGTTATTATACAACCATATATCATACAAATCATATAGTCCAGGCATGTGGTGAAAAGAATGCATAGACACAAACACACAGAGGAATCTTTCTGGGTTTGTGTTGGCTCACAATCTATTGTTTCAAATGCTGCTACAGGATCAGTGTTTGTGTATACGTGTGTGTACTAGTTTGAGTCAGGATGTCAGCGGTACCTGAGAGGTCTAAGCAGGTGTTGCCGCCGTCATCTCCCCCCCGTCCCGACTCTGTCAGGGTGCTGAACAGGGTGCCGATGGGATCCAGGGGGTGTCCCACCCAGCCCTCCATGTTGGTTATGGAGGTATGGCCTTTATGGAGCAACTCTGAGACAAGACAATAGAGATTTAAAACAAAAACAGCAGAGATTTAGTGAACACACAGTCTGAACCAGACATTTCACATTTTCTAAGTGAAATGACCCTCTTTGTCACTTTCCCGAACAAATAAATAAATAAAGATTGCATGCAGTGACAGGGACAATGTATGAAAAATAAAAGCATTGGACTTTAGAAGAGAAGAGACCCGAAGTGATGGTCTTATTTTTTTATCTTTGCTGGTGGTATTTAAGACTCCAGCTCCCAGAAATGAATGCTATCAGCTGGACGATTCTTGTAGGATTTTCTCCTCCTTTCTTCAGTCAACACTTTTATTTTCCTCTGTTTTTAAACACTTGTAAATATGTGTGTTACTGCTGGTGTTTACAGTCAGTGATTTTATCAAGATTGGTTTGTCCACTTTTTTTGTATTCTGATTTTTTTTTTTTTAAAAGTGGCTTCACCTTTCTTGTGTCGGCGGAAGTGCTCGAGTTGCCTTTGCTGTTGCCGCCGTAACGTGTTCACTACAGCGATGGCCAATCGGAGGGCTTCTCTTGGGTAACCGTGGGAACGCAGGGCATCCACTCTCGCACAAGCTGTTGGGACGTGTTCTGAGGGCGGAATAAAACAAAAGTTTTGACCTCTATGTTCCTCCATTGGCTGCTGTAGATTTCTCCGTCGAACCATATATGTATAAATAACTTATCTGACACATGCGCTCACACCCACATACACACACACACACACACTCACACACTCACCGTGCCATAAGGGCCAGCCGCGTGAGTCAAAGAGGGAGCCCTCCTGGTTGTCATGGTAACAGTAGTTGGCGTAGAGGTCACTGGCGATAATGTGCTGGAGGTGTCGGTCCTGCCAGTGCAGGTCACAGGCCTCGATGGCCCGAGTGAACACGGTCCGATGGGGACGCATTTCTGCAGAAGAAGAAGAAGAAGAAGAAGAACGAGGGGGGTGTGAGACTCAATCAACTTCCTGTTCAAGTGAAAAAAGCACCAAAGGAGGATTGCATGCATGGACATGGGTTGCATTTTTGTATTACAGCTCTGTTAAAGTTTTGTGTGGTCTCATCCTGCTTTCTTTTAACGGCTGTTTGGATCACGACGACATCTTTGCTGTGGAAAATGTAACATAAGGCTTTTTCAATGATGTGCAGTTTATCACTGCAGCAGATATTTAAATAAAAAATGATATAGAAATAATCTATCTGTATGCCTTTATCAATTTCTACACTTAGAAAATGTGCTAAGAAAACAAAAAGTACAGCTACAATTAAAGGAAATAGAATAAATGATGGGTTAATGAGGTAGACGGGTTCAACTAGAATCCCATCACCAGTCAGAGATTGTTTACGAGCCGCCCCTCTGAGGTTTAAAGCTGTGGGATATGTTATTATTAAGTAAATATATTATTGACACACATGCAAATAACTTGTCAAACCCTGACCTTGGTTGCCATGGGCACCCTGAGGCAGTGAGTGGGTGAGGTTGGGCAGCTCGTTGCCGTGGTTACCGTCCTCCCAGGGGCAGACGTCCACGCTGTTCCATCTGCGCAGCTGGCGCAGCCACGAGGACTTCTGCTCGGGTTTGCAGTGAGGGTTCAGCACGATGCACATCCAGAGGGCCCCTGGAAACACACACAAACATATATAAATGTAAATACACACACTCACACACACACACACACACACTAAAGACAGTTTCCCAGTGTGTGACAATGACGTAACCATGACTCATACGACAGGTGGGCGTGTCTTCTGAGGTTCAAATACAGTGATCATGCAAGACTGAAAGCTGGAGGCGGATTTCAAAGATGCACAGCATTCACAACATTCTTTCTTTTTAGTGCACATTTTGTATGCCGCCGCCATCTTGCACTGAAATACAAAACTCTGAGAAAACGGAGAACTTAACTAGTCCCGAGGCAACGCCGGCTGCACACACATCATTTTGGAGTAAATTGGAACAAACAGAATATGAAAAGTGTCTACGTCTCCTGGGACGCAAGAACATTCAGGGATTTTACGCTCAGGACTGCAGGAGATATGTGGAGTCGACAGAGTGTGTGCGTGCGCCAGATTGTGTTGTTCTTGTGCATGTGTGGTAAAGGCAGAGAGAGTTGGGTAGGAAGGACGAAGACAAGGACAGAGACTGAACAGGAAGAGAGGAAAACGAACACAAAAGGTGCAGAACAGAGGGGGAGCAGAAGAAAGGGAAATGGGAAATGAAATGGGAGCGCAGATGATTTGGACGAGGAGACATGGGTGAGGACAAGTGAATGAGGCACAGCTTTGTGTCTGGAGGAGAGGAGTAGCTGAGGCTCAAAGAGGAGAAAGACAAAAGACGAGGGGGGGAGAGAGAGGGAGATAGAGAGAGAGAGAGAGTGAGCGAGAGAGCGAGGCGCCGAGAGGCAGCATTCACCACACATCAGGGGCAGAGATAAGGACTTGGGAAGGAGGGTTTTGAAGTGTGGACTTCAAAGAGGCCGTACACACACTTCCAAAAATACGTGAGCGTTGAAACAGATGAGATCACTGCGCTGTCCTCACAAAGTGCAGAACAAGACCAAAGAGAGAAAACGAAACATCATCATCAACAGCAACAGCGGGGAAGGCAGCAAACATCAACAGAGACATTAGAGGGGGAACAACAAAGACGGGAGACAACACGACTGCTGTCCTGGTGACGGGCGTGTTGGGTTGGTTGTTTTTTTTTTTTTTGCGGTTTGTGAGGATGTGTTTCGCTGTAGGTACAGTACATCTGTCAAAAGAACTACACACTGTTTCAAACCACATGACTGCACGGCTAGCAGCACTCTGTCACATCGACTAAATATATAACGTGGAGTGTTTGAACGCATCGCGGAGGTCATAATATTTGGGGTTTTGATGAAGCGCGATGTGCTGCGTTTAATGGCTTCTTATTCACAAAGACACTCTCGCTGAGCTGACAATCTTACACTTACAGGGAGAGGAAGCGACTGGGCTGTCAGTGACGAGCGTGAGTGTGAGTCTGTGTGTGTGTGTGTGTGGGGGGGGGGAGGGGGGGGACTGTCTTGGGCACAGAGGACAAATAAACAAACAGAGAAAGAAATATGCGTGTGTGGTTGCCTTTGTGTCAGTGTCTGGGTTCGATCGCCCACTTTGCTAAATCTGTCCGTGCCTGTGCATAGAGACAAAAAGGGGTGTGTGTGTGTGTGTGTGTGTGTGTGTGTGTGTGTGTGTGTGTAGGGGGAGGATTGTTCTCTCTCACCTAGCTCGTCCCAGAGCTGTCTGTACTTGTCGGTCATGGTGGTGCCCTGCTGTCTCCACAGCGCCAGCCGAGGGTCGGCCATGAACTGTTCTGTGATAAGTGTTAACATTCTCGCTCCGTTGGAGTCACGCATCTTCAGCATCTCCCTCACCTGCAGGGGGAGAGAGAGGAGGAGAAGGAGAGAGGGGACAACTTTTAGACGCAAACCCACATGGCTCGTGTAAATCCATACATCCAGAAGAACGGAGAGGATTGAATGCCCTGCTGAACAGTTCTAGAACATTTCAGGACAGTCCGCCCCCCCTGACATCTTTCTGGGTTGCCTGTTCTCACACGCAGCTCACAGCGGGATGTTTTTCCTTGTCGGATGCTCGTTGGTCCCTTACCGGTCAGCGACAGGTCACGTGATGTAGGTGTCACTTCTCTTATACTTTCATACGCGTCTTTAACAGGTTCAATGTTTGAGATTATTCAGTTCAGAGCTTTTTATATTCTCATTGGCAATACTACAAAAATCTAATTTCTTAATAATTCCTCTAGTGTACTGTGTTTACTTTTTAAACATATGTTGGGCCATTTTAAGCCTTTATTGACAGGACAGGTGAGTAGTAAATGTCCAGAGTCAGATGTGAAAACGAGACAACCGAGAGCATCCTCTGCGCATGGGACGGTCTATCAGGGCTAAACCAGCACCTCACTGTGTCTCCTCTCCTTTCAGAAGATTGGTTAATCTGTGTTGAATTACCAACCTTTGTCCTGCAGATATAAATAAAGTTTTGTTGTTGTGTGCAGACACAAAGTCCACAATACCTCATACATACTTTAATCTTTATTTGAGCAACATGCATTCACATCCACATGATCTACTCAACAGGTTTAAATGTCTTTCACATGTATTATATGTCTGAGAAAAAATCTGCATCTTCATTATTCTGTAATACCAGAGATAAGTTTACCTGTTAGAAGTACAAGCTGTCCAACGAGAGCAGGCAACTCAAATAACTAATGCTCACTTAAAATTCCTCTCAAACTGTCCTCTCTTGTTCTGAAATGAGTGTTTAGGTTCCTCCTACACTTAACAATGTCTTTCTCTTCTAATCCTTACTTTGAATTGCTTGATTGTGTTCAGTGCAAACTAGTTTGATGACCTCTGAATAGTTACAGCTACATCGTCCTCTAAGACTGAAACATTTTCTAATTTTTGATAAGTGAGATCCTGAAGTTCTGCAGCTTTTATTGTAGTTCTGAAAAAAAGAATGAAATTGAAATGTAAATAAAAGTCACAAAGTGGATGTGGAAACTTTTTTTTTTTCTTTTATAACTGAACTACTCAGGAATGTAACCATTTCTCTTTTAGTCTTCAGATTTAACTAGCTGCTGAGATTTATCCGTATTTTCTCTTCACTTTCTCCAACTGGAAAATTCGGGAGCTGTGCAACAGCGGCTCGTTTATTGCTAACGACGGTGGTCAGCGTCTTTCTGCAGCAGCAAACACGACCACTGTTAGGTGCATGTGGGTGAAAACTCAAGGCTGAAACTGACCGACCTTTATGACATATTTTGTGTAGTTTTAGGTGCCAAGCAGAGATAAAAGAGTGTCACTGAAAACAAGTAAGCGGTGCATGGATGTGTGCCACAACAACAACAGAATGAGGAAAAGTACAAATACAGACACACACACACACACACACACGTATACAGTACAGGTCTGTTTTGTCATCCGATCTGAAGGCAGCTAAATGTGTGTGTGAATTTGAGCGTTTGAGCGTGTGTGTGTGTGTGCTGAAAAGTGTAGAACAGGCATCAAGGAGAGAGACATTTTAAAAGCCGGGCAGGGTGGACGATAATGGCCTCGGCTTGCAGTCTTTACATATCACACAACAACACATTAATGCAGGCCTAGCTCTGCAACAGAGACAACCACACATCCCTTATGTAATCGTTTAATCGCAGGCTCAGAGTGGTATACAGTGCAGGCCTCTCCTCTTTCTACACCTCCTTCTCGGCCTTTCTCTGCAATTAGCTGCAGCTAAAAGGCAGCATGCCTTTTAATGTATGTGCCAATAAGTTGTTTTGTCTGGGATGGCTCTGAGCCCCTCTTCCATACGGGAATATAAGAGATCACAAGTGCACTAAAGAGAGAGACGGGAGAAAATATTTATGATGCAGAGACAAGTGCACCTGGAGCGAACTTTGAGCATGTGCGTGTGTCAAGTGAGTGTTGGTATGTGTGTGTTATGTTCTCAATGTGGAAGAATGAATGTTGCGGGTTGCTAACCTTGCTGAAGAGCAGGTTGAGTTGCTTTCCCGAGCCATGGTATCCTCCCTGCGACAGGAAGAGCTTGACTTGCTCCTGAACCTGCTCCTCGTCCAGATGCCAGCAATTCTCGTCGTCCACGCTGGCTCCTGCCGTGGGGTCAGGGGCCCCTGCAAAAACATGTGCAGACACCATTATTTTAGATGTTTCAAGTCACTTTTCAAAAGACAAAATGCCAAACGTTCTCTGATGACAGCTTCCTGATTATGAAGATTTTCTTCATTTTTTTCTTGTACCTGATAGTGAACTGAATGTCTTTGGGTTTCAGTCTCAGTTTAGTTACTTATAAACAGAGTTCCTATTTTTGACCCCTCATATGTATATTTGAGGAAAAAGTCCTGTTAAAGAGAGAGTGACAATGACTTGTGCTTTAATCCTTACTTTCTGAAGCTATGTTAGCACAGATACTTTGAATAGCATGCTAAATTGACAAATCAAATCAGTGTTTTTTCACTATTGACAGGCAATTTAAAGCATACTACCTCAATGTATCTGGGACTTTATGAAAAAAAGAAGCTGCAATTTGAATTTCACATCATCAACATTGGTATGAAACACTCATGTTTTCTACCTTTTTCCATGAACTTGTGAATATTCTCCGTTCTTTCTACATTAGAGGGTCTTAATTAAAAGGGCTACACTCCAGTAAACTTCCATCATTTATCTATCCTTAAAAGTAAAATTGTAACCTTTCACCTCTTTTTCAGCTGACTCATCACAATCAGAGTTGGATTTATCGAGGATTTTGCGCCATCTTGGTGGTTTCATTGTTCCCACAATGCAGCAACACTTTGACCAAGGAAAGTACGCTGAGCCTCAGTTTCTCAGTTCCTCAAAACTACAGTTAAGAATTTGAAGGTTATAAGAAATTAGAAAAAATGTTTACCGGTAAACAGATGTTGTAATTCTGATTGTGTAAAAGTCAAAATTCAACTAGTAAACCTGGAAAGTCCCAGAATGAATCCACGGTGCGAAAAGAAACTCTTCATAACAGCACAATCATTATGATGATTTCATTGTTACTAATTGACTCCTGCGCTGAATATCTTCAAGCGTCATCCCTCCCATGTCTTGTCTCTTCTTCCTCAAAGCATGTTGTCTGTATTAAGTCTTCCTTCTTCTCACTTCTTCAGAGTTAAAACCACTCGGACTTTACTACATCAATGCTATCATCGCTCATTAAAACTAACTGAAATAGGAGCGCCGATGGCCCAGCTGTTGTGTCGCCCGCCCCATGTGCAGAAGTCGTAGCACTCGGCACGGCGGCTGTGGGTTCGAATCCGATCTCAGCCCTTTTTGCTGCGTGTCATCCCCCCCACTCTGTCCTCCCCAACATTTCCCGTCTCTCTTCAGCTGTGTAAAAACTTTACACAAAACAGCAGCAAATAATTTTTAGAACAAAGCTTGATGAAGAAACAATGAAAGTAAGTAAATAAAACCTCAGTTCTATTATATCGTTGTCCCACATGTTTGCTTTTTCATGCTGTTCCCTGTTTTCTCTTTTGTCCGTGTTGTTTGCCCTCCAGTGTCAGTCTCTCTATAAAAAAGGTAAGCAGCAGCGCGCACAGTATTGATAACAAGAAATACACACCTCTCTTTATCTCTCTGCTCCCCTCTTCGTCTCTGTTTCTCTCTCTCTCTCTCTCTCTCTCTCTCTGAGGTAAATAACAGGTCTATAGTGTTGATTATAGGCACACAGTCTCTCCTTTACTGCCTGGATCTCACTAATGAGTAACATTGATCCTGTCACACTTCACCTTCACCAGCCAGTCAATACACATGCACATGTGGAGGCAGAAACACACATACACACACACACCTGCATGGTCATGTGGTAATAAACATGCCTACGACCACACACACACACACACACACACAATCACACACTCTTTTCCTCACCGTGGACCTGGTTGATCTCAGAGTTCTGGGATAGAATCTCGTCAGCCAGTTTCTGCGCGGTAGGCAACACTTCGGTGTGGTGGACTGAGATCAGGTACTGGACGAACTTCTGCAGCTGGTCTCTGCTCATCTGGAACAGCGTTTCCGAGATGGGCAGGTGCAGTTTGACCTGCTCGGGCTTCCGTACTCTGTAAAGCGACAGCGCCACTACATGGGCGCAGTAGAAGATGTCTTTGTTGCCGCAGGTGCACGTCACCGCCGTGATTTTGCAGCGGTCGAAGCTGACGCTGACGCTGCAGACAAGTTCGGGGGACGAGGGGGTGGCGGGGTCCGTCACTGTGCCGCTGAGGTGGAAACCTGAAACAGAGAGAAGGAAGAGCAGAGGTTCATTTTAAATGTAGGCAGAGGTTTCCTTTCTGGAGCCATCTCTGCCTTCAGGACTTACACGAGAGGAAAGGGTTAACTGAAAAGAAATCACAAAAGTAAGAAAATGAATCACATCAGTTAGAATGATAAAACCTAACCTATGGTTACAGCTCCTCAAAGTTGAACATTACCTGCGTTTCTTTGCCTTTGATGATAGCTAATAGAATATCTTTAGAGCTGAATAGATTCATCGATGCTCACAAAAGGTAAGCAGCAACCATTTTTACGACCCAACCTGCACTTGTTCCAGCCTGAAATACTGCTTTTTATTCCTCACATGATGGTTAAGTGAATGTCTTTTGAATTTGGACAGTTTTTGTGAAAGTACCGTCTGGAAATGTGAAATTCTACAGGGTGCCTTCACGATCTTTAAAACATTTTTTGTAGTAAAACAATGAATTATATATTTTACAAACAATCCTCAGACCAATTCTTTGTGAAACAATAAGTTTTAGCACTCCCTCTGAAACTTAAACTTTGCGTTTTACTCATTTAGAAATAACTGACCGGGTAAGTTTCAGCCCAGGAAGAAGATTTCACAGCCATTTTAAAAATGGAGGTTTTATTCTCAAAGATTCAAGATCACATCAGCCATCTTTTCGTCTCCTTATAGAGTTACAAACCTCAAGTTTTGCCCAAACATCCATAAAATGAGAATGAAATGAGTTCATCAATTCACCGTTGGTGCCCGTGAGTAACTGACATTATTAAGTAAAGGAATGAACCGTCCATTATGTGAAACAGACTCGGTTGGCTGCAGTCACCTGCCGGCGGCCGTGTGTTCTGCTATCATGAGAGCGGGATCAGGACCAGCTGCAGCCCACTGCTACGCTCATTCATCCAGAGTCACGACAGAGATGGAGATGCAGAAAACCGGGATTATAAATCCACAGCAAGGGGAAGTGAGCGCGGCTGTTACAGTATGAATAATACAGCTCCTTGTTTGAATATCACTTTTTGATCTCGCCCTGACTGAGCTATCTGGAGGTGCGGCTAGTCATTACGCAAGGATGAATATAAATGAGCAGGGCGGGGTCCCCGGCAGAGGCCTAAAACACACACTGATGAGCATATGAAAGACACGCACTTGTACACACACACTGCGCCGCAGCGTGACATCATGCATTTATTAATAAATGGGAGTGGTTAGGAGAGCACAGAGAGGAGCTTATGAATACATTAATGCGCTCAGGAGAGATGTTGGAAATTCATGTGGACCAGGCAAAGACATACATCTCTTAAATATGTTTATCAAAGGGCCGAGCAGTCGCACGCTTGTGATATCAAGCATGTATTAACGCACATATCAAAGTCTTTCACAGGGGGGCTTCCACATTAGGTGGGAGAAGGGGGGGGGGGTTGGGGGGGGGGGCAGGAGGTGAATATTTCATAGGATTTAGATGGAAAATTGTGTGAGGGATGCGTATGCAGAGGTCAGGTCAGAGAAGCTTTCATAAAGGTGCTCTATAAAACTGCAAGAAAAAAGGAAAAAGGATGGAAAGGGGTAAACGTGGTCACAACCCTGGCCTGGAGTGAAAGCAATGCCCTCAGGACGGGAATGAAAATAAAACAAGGCGGCTATAGAGACCTGGTTTCTTTTCTATGCCGTCTCCAAACAGCAGGAAGTAGAAAGTTGTCTGCGACCGCCATGATCCACATGTTGTGTCTTAAGACTGTGTGCGTTGTGCGAAAGCATCACGGTGGTCTTATCTTTTTCTTCTTGTGCAATAGGCGTAATGTGCATATATATGTGTGTGGTTTACAATGGTATGTGCCTCTCTGTTTACATGTCGATTGTTTTTTTTTTTTTATTGTTTTGATCGATTGATTTTCTGTAGAGGGGACAATAAAGTGTATGGTATGGTATCATGAAGACACACAGTCAGGAAAAGAGCCTCTACATGAGCGTGTGAGAGGCCCAGTGCACTAAAAATAAAAAAAAATCAGAAAAGCTACATTAGCATGGATGTCACAAACATGCCCCGAATTGCAAGAGCATCAAAAACAGAAAACAGAAAATGTTTTGTTGTTTTGTTGCAGGACTAAAAAAAAAAAAAAAAGTGTCGGCTGCAAATTTCGAACAGAGCAGAGCTGCAGAACATCGCCATGGAGATATGCTTTTTCCATTCGAAACGCCAGCTGGCACAGGAAGTACATGTTCGTTAACAATCTCCACAGAAGAGGGGTGTGGATCCAATATGGCAGCCACTTGCATCTGCAGTGATCAAAGCCTATATGTGTACAGCTGTGGGAAAGAGACAAGCACACACAAACTCACAGAAACACACACAAACACACACAAACACACACAAACACACCGAGTCCCCCTTTTTTTTTAAAACATTTTTTTAAATGAGACAAAAAGGTTTACATGGTGCAGCTGGTTGTAGAAAGGCGAGCTAACCTATTTAGCTGTGTAACAACATACAAATGAGCAGTGTCTTTTTATACATGCGGATACATTTAGTGTGTGTATTTGTGAATGCGTGTGTGTGTGCGCGTGTGTGTGTGTGCGTGTGACACAAGCTTATGTTTCAAAAGTGGCCCCTGGTCCAGAGAGGGGAGAGAAAAAGAGAACATCAAAAACATGTGGGACTGAGAGAGCTCAAAGAAAAATCCACCTCACACACACACACACACACACACACACACACACACACACACACACACACACACACACACACACACACACACACACACACACACACACACACACACACACACACACACACACACACACACACACACACACACACACACACACACACACACACACACACACACACACACACACACACACGTTTCAGACCGTCGTAAAAGCAGCTGCACTTTTCGTTTTCCCAAAGGGAAAATTAACCGGGATACTTTTTTTTAAAAATTCAAAACACATGGAGTATGAAAAACTAAATAGTGATAAAAGACGTATCCTCCAGTCTGTTATGTTTTCCTTTTTTTTTTGCTTTGCCGGACACTCTCTCTCCTTCCAAGCCCTTTTCATACGTCGCTCCCTCCCCTCCCCTCTCTCCATCCACATTCCCACAGCTCTTTCGCTCTCACTCTCTGACAGATGGGTAGGTAATGAGTTTCGCCTTTCCCCGTCCAATCGTCTGGGCACCAAAAACTGCCCCCAACGCCAAAAATGCCCTTTTAATTTAGCCAAGCACTGAGTACAGGGATATTACTGTTTAGATACACACACATATACACACAGACACACACTTCCCATGACTCCTGGTTGGGTGGGTATGAAACCTTCAATGTCTCATGTGCTAGCTATTAAAGCGCCTGGTTCCCCCCCCCCCCCCCCTCCCCCCTCCCGAGTGCTGCTCAGGGCTCCTTTCTGTGCATGTTCAAGAGGCCAGGGTTGGCTTTCAAAGTAACCATGGCGGCCATTTTTAGAACAAGGCCTCTGTGAGGTTGCCCTAGAAACCCCTTCTGACCGCCCTGGTGAAATCACACTTGGCCTGGAGAGCCGTGTACAGCAGCGGGAACAGTGTGTGAAAGAGTAAGCGAGAATTAGTGTATGTGTATATATATATATGTTCAAATCCCTCAAAGGCCTGCAGACCACCCACACTCTTTAGGGGGGAATCACATCAAAGCATTCTCCCAAATAGCCCTGTGCTCTAGCATTTTCTTCTTTCGTTTTGATGTGTATAAGAGCAGATAAGCCAGCATGCGCTCTCTTGACCGGCTAGGACCACTTCTGTCTATTCAACAACGAGGGCCCCTAGAAATACCGGACTCCTGCTCTTATTTCAAGGAGGAAAAGGCCCGAACCAAGAGGTGAAACTCCTTCAACATTCATCTGCTGTGATGGAAGAATGCCGCCTTTATATGCTTCCCATAAAACAGGATTTAGCTTCCCACATGAAGGCAGGCGGCGGGTATCGGGGGCCGGGCCTCAAAGTCTCGCTTGCCTATAAGCACAAAAGTGCTCACTGTTCCAAAATCCCTGAAGTAAATTAGATTGAGCAACATACATATATTTCCGCAATCAAATTAAGATTCCAAGTGAATTGAGGAGATGTAGGCCCGGCAGTGGGAAGGTCATTAAGTTTATCGGCGGAATTGGTTTATGAGTGACCGTCAACTAAATCTAATCCCGCGCCAGGCAGCTCAGAAAGCAGTTGTCCCTTTGTATGTTTTGTGTGAAAAAGAAGGATTCTTGATACATGTTTCATTTCAGTGACGGAAAAAAAAAAAAAAGATGAACCAAATGGGCCTGTGGGAAAGCAAGTCAACAAAAGCAACAAAAAAAAAAAAAAAGGGAGGAACAAAGAAAGCTAACGGATATCTAAGGCACATTCTCCTGCGCCGAATCAGTTTAGCCGTGTGCATTAATCAAATTACCTCATGGGCTGCAGACAGACAAAAAAAAAAACCTAAATCCGACTTTGCCCCCGCTGGAGCTGCTCTGATCCTGATGGGACCACCTGCAGTAGCTGGTGCTTTAACACGAGATCCTACTCTTATGTAAACCAAAGATAGCTCGCTTAAAAACCTCCCTGAGAAAAGGCCGCCGGACTGGAATCCAATCCGTTTGGTCGGATTGAACCAAGAGGCCCTGCTGAAAGGCGATCTGAACCACAACTGAGGAAAAAGCCGGGCTTCGCAGCGGGTCGAGGAAGGGTCGAGAATTGTTGGGCAATCTCCACCCCTCACACTACCTCCATCCCACCCACAGCTAAAAGAGCATTTCCTTGAACTGGCCCAATTAATAAGGCTACAAAGACAAATACAAGGCCTTTCAGCATCTTAGCGGGTAGGTCTGTGTGAGTAACAATGAGTACATGCATGTGTGGTCCTATAAGGAAGCGCCCATACCGAGACTATAAACAGAGATCAATGCTGTTCTGCAGGAGTCCTTGCTTCAGGCGTGTGTGTGTGCATGTGTGTGTGCGTGTGTGTGTGTGTGTATCCTAGGTGTG